ACTGGTTACAATTATTCTTAGATGACTGCATGATCTATATTACGTATATCTACCTATTTATTATGGCCACTCGTTCGTCGGTTTTCTGTTTATTACAATGGTCTGACGTTCGTCGGTTTTCTGTTTGTCACACGTCAATCGGTTCTCTGTTTACTACAATGGTCTGACGTTCGACGGTTTTCATTACGTGGTGGTATTTTAGGAATTGGCTAAACCCTGCCGGATGTTTTCTCCACACATACATGTGATAACTCCCTTTAACTTCCCCGGCGTTAAAGCTACCAAATTGTTGTTCATAGTGCCTTAAACAACACAAGAATGGTGTAACCCGCACCTGTTACTTCTGCCTAGACTCGTGAGCACCCATGAAGATCCGTGTTAGCATTGATCGTTGCAGCAACCCATGTTTTTCGTAAGAGGCAACTAATGGGATCGGGCGGTCAGGCTCGCCGACTTGGTTGAACATGTCATCGTATCCCAGTTGCGTAGATCGATGTTCATACTGCTGGTCACTGGATTGTCTGGTCCAGACTCGATTATTTACAGACCCCCGCCATACAGCTGGAAGATTGCTAAGTGCGGCGTTAAACAACAACCAAACCAAACCCTAGTGAGCAATTGCAAGGTGGAATAACCAGATTGTTTGTATTGTTTTATTTGTCGAGTTATAATCAGATGAAATACCGATGTGCTCACCGGTTGACAGTAGTCACATTATCAACGTTAACAACGACACTGATACCGTTCCAGTGCCCCACTGGCCTATTCGCTGGTATTGAACGTACATGCATTGAGCTAATTAGTTCACGATGGCCCTGAACATTTATACCAAGAGGACACTGCCCATGGGCAATAATGCCTGATGAGAGCAATATCTGATGTACAATATAGAACAAACTTTACGGATAACAACTTCTTTTTATTCGTGAGTGCGACGTTTCGATACAGATTCTTGTACCGTTGTCAAGCATAATGGAACATGAAGAAGGGGGAAGTGTATATATACTGGATGTAACAATGTAACAAAGAAAAAACATAATTAACATAATTGGCTAGGCAGAAAGCTGATGAAGCCAGAGAGTAGACAAAGGACAGGCGTGGAAGCCAATGATGTACAAATAATAATGAGATGTTTATACAGCAGAGTTTATACAGTAGATTGGGCTTGGTGGATGAGTGCATCATAAGCGGATGGAATGAAGTATCCTTGGTCTCGGTTGATGGTGGGCTTTTGGCGTTTGATGTGGATGGCTTCGGTGAGCTTGCGTTTAGTGAAGTCTGTTTGTTTGTTAGAGAGAACGGTGATGTCAGACCGCTCTATTTGATGATTGGGGCTTGCTTTGATGTTGTCGGAAATGGCTGATTTGCTCTCGGAATTGGTAACAGAGGTCTGATGTTCTTTCACTCGGGTGTTGATGGGTCGGGAAGTTTCGCCTATGTAGCTCTGCCCACAATCACAGTTTATTTTGTAGATGACACATTTTGGGTTGTTGTTCTTTACGGTGGCGGGTTTTCTTCCATTGGCATGGAGAATGTTGTTAAGGTTGAAGGACGCGGAGAAGGTGGTATCTATGCCAGCTTGTTGTTTTAGTAGAGGGCTGATTTGATGTGACGGTTTGCCAGTGTAGGGGATGGATATCTTGATGGGGACTGAATCTGGTTTGGGTCTTAAATATCTGATGTAATGAATTACAGTGTACGTGACACGCAGTTTTTGCCGTTCTCAATTTACAGCACGTTACTGCCACCTTCCAACTCCACACCTGCAGGGGAGTACACATGTAGAGCAGGGTGGGGGAAGGCAGTCGCTGACTCACCTTCTGGTAGCTGGTGGGGGTAGTGTTATCCAGACCCCTGAGCAGTTACGGCCCAATGTTATGACCCATTATATCATAGTAAATTATTAGATCACTAAAATATGTCATGGAATCAGACCAGCGTTTTATCACTTTCCTAGCCAGTATTATCAGTTACTGTATTTGGAATAATGATGCTTTGACATCTAGTATCATTTACTTGGTTAACTAAAATCATCTTACATTTATGGTAACATCGATAAGAGAAAATATAAATATCAGCATTAAAAAAATAAGGGAGGGAAGTGAATATTTTATGCAAACATTCAGCAAGCACCAAGTACAATGTGTTATATGTTTGCTCATCCCAGTGTATTATCTGTGGTGTACGAAGTGTAGCATTTATGGTGTGTACAGTGTCTTATTTATGGTGTATATGTATTTGTATATAGAGAGTTATACACAAACACACGCGCACGCACATACATACGTACAAACATGCACACATCCATTCAATCTATTCGTCATCTATACACCACCCACCTATTCATTCATCCTTCCATCCATCCATCCATCCATCCACACACAAACCAACACACCCATCCATCCGTAGATCCATCAACCCATCCATCAGTATATCCATCAATCAATACACCCACCCACACACCCATCCATCCGTACATCCATCCACCCATCCATCCATCCACTCACACACACTCACCCATCCATCCGTACATCCATCCGCACATCCACCCATCCATCCATCCACAAACACACACACTCACCCAATCCATCCATCTGTACATCCATCAATCCAACCATCCATACACCCACCCACACACCCATCCATCCGTACATCCACCCATCCATCCATCCACACACAAACACACACACACCCATCCATCCGTACAATCATCCATCCATCCATCCACAAACACACACACTCACCCATCCTTCCTTACATCCATCCGCACATCCACCCATCCATCCATCCACACACATCCACACACCCATCCATCCGTACATTCATCCATCCATCCATCCATACATACATACATACATACATACATACATACATACATACATACGCACGCACGCACAGACGCACGTACATATATACATACATACATACATACATACATACATACATCACAAACTACTTGTAATATTAAGCTTATTCAGGCTGGTCACTTGCTTGGAATTCTGCGACTGTACTATTGAGACGTGTAACACAAAATAACGATTTCACCTGAATAGTGCTTATCAATCCAATCGTGTACATTATGTTACAGTCCAGGTATAAAATGATTAAAATGTTCACTTAGGTAATTTATGAAACCCTTTAATATTTCAATTACTTTACAAATTGGCAGCAAAATGTAGTACCTCATCACTCCAGGTCATTTATAACGTATTACTTACTAGGCATATACACCACATAAGTATAAGAATTCTTAACATTTTGAAGTTTAATTTCATCTCCCAGTAAATGTTCGGGTTGAAATTAGCTGATATTCCTCCTCCTGCTACGGCGTATTTCGAGAAAAACTTTTACTCACTACTGCACTGCAGAGCACGATGACAGACGTTTGCGTTGAAGTGTACAGCTCCGGATACAGAATGAATGCTTTGCTGTTAGAAATTTTATGTAGTGGTTCGGTTAACACAATAATACAAGTAATACGTTATAAATGACTAGGAGTGAGGAGGTACTATGTGGTGTATATGTCTAGTAAGTAATACGTTATAAATGACCAGGAGTGAGGAGGTACTATGTGGTGTATATGTCTAGTAAGTAATACGTTATAAATAACCAGGAGTGAGGAGGTACTATGTGGTGTATATGTCTAGTAAGTAATACGTTATAAATGACCAGGAGTGAGGAGGTACTATGTGGTGTATATGTCTAGTAAGTAATACGTTATAAATGACTAAAGGAGTGAGGAGGTACTATGTGGTGTATATGTCTAGTAAGTAATACGTTATAAATGACCAGGAGTGAGGAGGTACTATGTGGTGTATATGTCTAGTAAGTAATACGTTATAAATGACCAGGAGTGAGGAGGTACTATGTGGTGTATATGTCTAGTAAGTAATACGTTATAAATAACCTGGAGTGGAGTGACTATGAGTACTATGTGGTAACCTGGGAGTATAAATGTAGTATAAATAACCAGGAGTGAGGAGGTGAGGAAGTACTATAAATAACCAGGATGTGAGGAGGTACTATGTGGTGTATATGTCTAGTAAGTAATACGTTATAAATAACCTGGGTGAGGAGGTACTATGTGGTGTATATGCCTAGTAAGTAATGTGGTGTATATTATAAATAACCTGGAGTGAGGAGGTACTATGTGGTGTATATGTCTAGTAAGTAATACGTTATAAATGACCAGGAGTGAGGAGGTACTATGTGGTGTATATGCCTAGTAAGTAATACGTTATAAATAACCTGGAGTGAGGAGGTACTATGTGGTGTATATGCCTAGTACGTAATACGTTATAAATGACCAGGAGTGAGGAGGTACTATGTGGTGTATATGCCTAGTAAGTAATACGTTATAAATAACCAGGAGTGAGGAGGTTCTATGTGGTGTATATGTCTAGTAAGTAATACGTTATAAATAACCAGGAGTGAGGAGGTACTATGTGGTGTATATGCCTAGTAAGTAATACGTTATAAATGACCTGGAGTGAGGAGGTACTATGTGGTGTATATGTCTAGTAAGTAATACGTTATAAATAACCTGGAATGACCAGCAGTTGGGCCGTCTCTTACATCATTTCAAAAGTAGAATTATCGCCCTTTGGAACAATAAGATCACCATTATGTAGTGGTTAAGTCCAGTAGGTTATATGGTATGGAGTGAATTGGAGTTATATGATATTATGTAGTGTGTATGTCTAGTAGGAAATGCTGTGTTAAAGACCTGGAGTAAGAAGGTATTATGTGTATGTAGAGTAACTAATAGGAATCATGGGTGGTGACAACGTATCAGTATATATCAGTCAGTATATATTCACAGTTACCATACTCTCAAATAGTAGTGCATTTATCAATAGGATAGTAATGCTCTGAGTGATAGCTGCACATATGGGTACAGGGACATGCGAAACGCAGACCGGACAGTGATATTGACATCTATTAAAAACACAAAATCTATTTATAAATATGCTTTATTGACTTTCAAACAAAGAGGCTTATCAATAAGTTAGGTTTAAATATTGAACAGTAATCACTTCATTGGAAGGCCAGCCGACATCAGTTATTGAGACGTCTTGGAATAGATTCTAACTGAGGAAACAGAGACGCGGTTCTTGACTCTCAGTTTCTGGACAGTTGCCTCAGCGGAGTCGGCTCTCTCTTCAGCATATTCAAGGTCCTGTTGCATCTTGTGGAACTTGGTCAGGTTCATGGTGGCAATCTCCTCCTGAAAGGAACGGGAATAAGTTTTCAAGTAATCGTGTTTGTATATACTTTTGGGTTCTCTGTTTCGTCCCTGATTGTTGTGGAAATTGGACATCCTGGTTATAACGCCTTCTCCATGTAGCAATCATGTGGTTGGTGTTGACTAATCCTAAAATGACATTATAGGCGAGTAGGGAGTTAGTGCCACTACATAATCTATAGTAATTGAATATGATGAGATATAATTTCCGACTGAATGTGAACATTCAGCGTAGGCGGACATATCAAATTCACCTTTGATTGGACCTCACTGACAGCCATAACCGCATTACAGTGAATAGTAAACAAACCCAAAATGACAGCTGTTTGTTTCATCTATTTAGACACAATCATATAGATGCATGGACACAACATATGTGTGCTTCACAGGAATGGTGTCGGGAATAATGATTGGTGCTGTTTTGTTTGATTATTTCCTACTCATTTCAAAATCACCTGCTGTTATAAGATGTTGTTAGATCTAGATAGTGTATCTTTGCTTACCACTTCTTCAATGTGTACCCGGTATGCCTTCAGTTTGGCATTCAGCTTGTCCACAGTCTCCTGGAGTCTCTCCTGGGTCTTCCTGTCCTCCTCAGCCTGGAACATCAGGTCCATCAGACGCCGTTCAGCAAGACGAGAACTCTTCCGGGTTTCCGCATGGTGGCGCTGCTCGTTCTCAAGCTCGGAATTCAGTTCACGAATCTAAACGATTACAAATGAAGATATACTATCACTAGTTAATGTGAAAATATCATATTCCGTGATTAATAAATCCTTTCACACGACTATTGTAAAGATTACGAGTGTGAAATCAGTGGATGTATATTAGCTGGGACTATATCTATTTTATATGGTTAAAGTACAACAGCTCACAACTCCCCATTATGCTTACCTTAAGCTCGAGTTTCTGGATCATCCTCCTGCCTCCCTTGAGTCCCAAGCCCTCGGATTCCTCAACTCTTATCAGAAGTTCCTTAACTTGACTCTCAAAGTGCATCTTGACCTTCAACAGCTGTGTGCTATTGTTCTGCTCAACTCGGAGCTCTTCAGACACGCGAGTGAAATCAACAACAGCGCGCTTGCAGTTCTCCTCGGATATCTTGAGCTGGTTGTGCATGTCATCTAGGTCGGACTGTAGAAATAGTAATGAACAATGAATGCATTTGAAAAGGACATCGAAATATAAACGATTACATTCCTCCTTGGAAGAATAGAGTTGGGACAAAAGTAGCAATGACAGTCTGATGACAATTAGATTTGCTTATATTCTTTCACATTCTTGAGTCTGAATTTAGGTCTTGAGCTTTTACTGGTCGTAGAGAGTGCACATTAAGTTCGTGTTTCTTTTCAAACCTGCATGGCAGTGATGTCACTGTCGAACTTCCTCTTCTGGCTTGAGATTGAAGTGATCTGGACAGTCAGCATATTCATGCGTTCTGTGACGTCACTCAGTTCAAGTTCAGCGGCTTTGCGGGCACGTTCAGACGACTCCAATGATGTGCGCATCTCCTCAGTCTCTCCCTTCAGCATGTTACAACGGCGTTCAAGAGACTGGTAGGATTCACGAGACTCGTCACGCACTTTCTGGAAATCCTCGATCTTAATGTTAAGTTCCTACAATAGAGGAATCAAATTTGAGTGCCAATATCCTGTACTTAATATATCGTAACATATTATGTTTGATAAACAACTATGAACTCCATGTATATGACGAATTGATAAAAATAGATAGAGATATATGATATACCCTGATCTCAGTGTAGTATTTCTTGGAACTTGTCTCGGCTTCAACACGAGAACGATTTGCTGCATCAAGGGCGATTTCAAGCTCATTGATGTCTTGTTCCAATTTCTTCTTGATCTTCATGGCGTCGGTTTTGCTCTTGGTTTCGGATTCCAAACTGATTTGCAGGGACGCCAGAACCTTTTGATGGTTACGACTGTAGACATACAATAGCATGATCAATACTCTTTGAATAGAAGACATATATTGACATGGTTGGTTAGATGGCTCTAAAATGAGGCTGCATAAACTGTCTGATATTAGGTGGTTCTAAAATTATGCAGCATAAACTGTCTGATATTAGGTGGCTCTAAACTGATGCAGCATAAACTGTCTGATATTCGCCAGCCTTAACTCGTATCTAATCAACGGATATGTAAGTTCATTATGTGGAAATAGGATCGTCTTTCGAATACTGGAAATAGCAGTTTCTCACCGAGTGTTTTCAAAGTCTTCTTCTTTCTCTGCTATACGTCTGTCGATGCCGGCTCTCACTTGAGCCAACTCCAGTGTTATCCTCACCACCTTGGCCTCCTCCTTTTCAAGAGAGGACTCGGCTTCCTCCAGGGCAGTCTGGAGTTCCTCTTTCTCCATCTGGAGACGCTTGTACATCTTCTCGACGTCATGAACACCACGGCCGCCATCACTTAATTGAATAGTTACTTCATGAACTTCAGCTGAAAGGTTTGAAGCGAGTGCATAAGAAACAGGATTATGCCTAACCAAGTAAATGCCTGATTTAAAATATTACTTTATATGGCCAAATGAGAAGATTCATATATGTTGATGATGTTTATAGAATGTGTCCCTCTAAAGGTTTTGAACAGCTGTAACATAATTTACCTGCTAAAAGAATAAAGATACATACCAGACAAGGTCTTGTTTTCTCTTGTTAAAGTCTCCACTTGACTGTGGTATTCCTCAACTTGACTACGGAAGCGGAAGAGTTCAGATGAGTAGTTACGGGACTCCTTATGAGAAGTTTCCAGCTCTGTCTGCAGATTGGTGACCTTAACCTGCCATTCCTGCACGGTTCTGTCAAACGTTCTTTGCTTCTTCTCTAAGGTCGTAGATGTTGCATTAGCCTGAAGTATGTATTGGTTTGCTTGATGTAAATACATAAGACACACCAACTATGACAAGTACATTAAGAGATAACCACATTAAGAACAAATCTGACTCCAGACAACTATGATTTAATTACAGTTATGCTATGAGCGCATGGAAACAGACGAGTCACATATGAATCTTTCAGGAATATGCCAAGGTCCAAGATTATGAGTGACTTATTGATTTGGTAGCCTTGATCTCGATGCTTATTTTGCCAAATAAACCATGATGCATTCACAAGATGACATAGAAGCAAAGGCAGCAATCAGCCTTTGTTCTCTACTCATATTTTCTCATAGAATATTACAAAAGGGGCTGTCACGTCAATGCATATATACATTGATGAGAATTTCATTAGTCATAAGTGCCTACCCTCTCAACATCGACCATTAAATCTTCCAATTCTCCCTGTAGTCTAAATTTGGCCTTTTCCAAAGCGTTGCACTTGCTATAAGCTGCTTGTAAGTTTTGTTCAGATTCTGTCAGCTTAGCCTGAAGACGCCGCCTGGAGGGACAAGACAATGTTGTATATAAACCTTGCTCAAAATACTGAAATTCCACTATTATTATTCTTTAAAAGTAATGGAAAGCACAAATGTGAAGTTAAACAAAGATGTGGTGTTGATATGCAGATACGATAGTTTAATGACATGTATTTTACCTGGACTCTTCAATCTCCTCCATCCTACAAATGCCCTCAGTCTCGTACTTGGACTTCCACTGCTGAGCTTCATTGTTGGCCTTCGCCAGCTGACGCTGAAGTGTGGCAGTTCTCTCGTGCTCTTCCTCCAGCAGATCACGGATGCTGTCCATGTCCGAGTTCAGGTTTCGTATATCAGATTGGAGTTTCATGCGAATCTGCATATGACGTTATGAAAATTAGACACACTAAAATTTATGTTCTCAGACAAATATTACGTTGTAGATTTTAAGTAAATATCAATAAGAATCATTTTGAAAGTCAGTATTGTCGATAACAGTTTTTCCATTCGATTAACGTTATTGAGTTGAAAATGCTGAATACGTAGACGAAGATGATAATCAGGTGATATATCATGTACATAGCCTACCCTAGACTCTTCCTCCAAACTTCTTTTGGATTCCTCCAAGTGACTAGACAGAGTGGACTTCTCTTTACTCAAGTGACTGACGTGATGTTCAGCCTCCTCAAGCTGACGGGTGATGTCACTGCATTCCGTTTGTAGTTTGAACTTACAGGACTGGAATTCATTGATTTGTCGTGTTGACTCTTCAATCCTCAGGTTCATTTCGGTGAACTGGGTTTCCATCTGTTTAGATATCTTTTCAGAGCATCCCTGTTGGGGAAATGAGGTTGTAATATAATGCTTCAAAGAAGGATTTTATGGATTGCTTATCGGTTTGTCAACTAAATGACTTGATTCACCTGCAGACGTATGTTGCATATCACTAACATGAACAAATGTAACTGCTTACCCTGTTCTTCTTGACGTGATCAAACTGGACTTGAAGTTCATCAATCTCTCCCTTCATCACTTGCTTTTCCTTCTCTAGTCTGAGGACATGATGAAAAAATTGGGTTTAAATTCAACATAGCTCAACGTGTGCCTTTTATATTCAATCATATTTGGTCTGTCCACAATCACGGATCCCTCATACACATCCCATTTACATCACTTACTTGCACTTCAATTTGAGTAGCTGTTCAAGTTGATCACCGAGTTCGTTGACAGCATCTTGGTGTTTCTTACGAAAGACAGTAATCTGTGTTTCATGATGAATAGCACTTTCTTCTAGCTCTCTTCGCATCTTTAGAATCTCCTGTTCCCGTTTCTTGTTCAGCTCAACCTGTCATTGTTTGTTACAGCTGTAGTATATAGTAGTAGTATAGTAGTAGTAGTAGTAGTAGTAGTAGTAGTAGTAGTAGTAGTAGTAGTAGTAGTAGTAGGTGTAGTGTAAGTAGTAGTAATAATAGCAGTAGTAGTGATGAGACAGTTTACTTTCCAAGAACTTCCTTACAGTGAAAGATCATGCTTTAACCCGATGTCCGTACCTGTACTGATGTGGCACCACCAGCTTCATCCAAACGTTCTGAAAGTTCTTCAAGTTCACGAGCCAACTCCATCCTTTGCTTTTCAACCTTACAACGGGATTGTCTTTCTGTTTCCAGTTCCTCCTCAAGTTCCTCAATGTGAGCCTAAAATGTGTCCAGAAGAAGGTGAGGACTGCATTACATTTCGCTTTAGTGTTTATCATTAGCATTTAATTTGAAAATTAATTAGGGATCAAGACTGAATAACTTCAAAAGTGATGTTTTTCAGATGTACGTTAAGCTTGAAAATAGTACAAGCTACCGTTATACCTGCAACTCCTTGATTTTTCTCTGAAGTTGAGCCCCATGGCCTTGTTCGTCCTCAAGCTGTGAGCTGATCATGGCAATATCTTTGTCTTTTCTACAAAAATAAAAATATGTGTCGATAACATTGTCGATAAGTAGTGTTATGAAGTTGTGACAATTAAATGATCGTCTGTACAACACCACATTACCTCTTAATGGTGTCTTCCATTTCACGTCTAATGCATTCCAGTTCTTCAACCACTTCCTGTGTCATCTTCAGATCTTGTTCCAACTTCCTCCTGACCTTCTCAACGTCGGCTCGCAACTTCTTCTCACGTTCAAGAGAGTCCTCCATATCATCCAGAGAATGTTCTAGTTTGGTTTTTAATTTAGTAAGATGGTTGACTTTGTCTTCTTCGGCCTGGAGAGCATCAGCTGTTTTTTGGTTTTGGGCTTCAATGTCCTTTTTGTTCTTTGAGAGTTTGGCCATAGCTTCGTCTTTCTGGGCAATTTCATCTTGTAGGGTCCTGATTTGGTTTTCTTTGGTTTTCGTTTCTTGTTCAGCCTATACAGTAAAATAATATTATAGCTATTTTAGAAATTGCTGTGACAAGTTGTATTACTGTGTTGTGCTTTGGTGAAACCGATCACCATGATGTGTTGTTGACAAAGTGAAATCGGATCCCCTAACGTGTAAGGAACCCATAGCGTACTGAAGTGTATGAGACATGTTATCCACTTAGACCTACCATATCAGTTACATTTCATTAGCCTGCATGTTACACAACTTTATCGAGTTCAGATATATATATGTCTGGTTTTGTTCATCAAGTGGAAAGATTATGTAAGTACCTTATCAAGACAGCTCTCAAGTTCTTCAATATCTTTCTTCAGCTCATTGTTTTCAGTTTCCATTTGTCTCCTCTTCTCAACAGCATCAGCATTTGCATCTACCTCGTTCAAGATACGCTCCTCCAGTTCCTTTAGCTCACTTTCAAAGTCATTTTTCTGTTTGAGCAGCTGCTCAACTCTTTCTTCACAGTCATCAATGATGTCTTGCTTTGTCTGGACCTCGAGGACAAGATCATTTTTGGCCTTCATCAAGGTGACGTTCTGTTCCTCAAGTTCCTTTGACCTGGATGTGATCTTTCCCAGCTCCTCTTTTGTTTTGACAAGTGCTTCCTCCTTCTGTTTCATTTCGTCTTCAGCAGCAGCAATACTGAGAAGAGGCTTGACCTTGGTGTAGAATCTCCACCAACACCAGTTCCTCATGGCCAGCCACTTGCGGATATTCTTCTGGATCATTTCCAGGGCAACTCTGCAAAGAATCATTTTGAGTATTGCAATTCAATGACGTGTCCTAAAACTAAGACATGTTAAGCTAAATTATATCACTTACAGCATACGTTTTGTCATAGTTATGACTTGTGTCATTACTGATTTTTCAGGAGTTTAAATTAGATAAATCAGAAAGAATTTTAGATTGACAATAAGCATATTCTAATGTACGTTCAAGAGTGGACAGGTAAATAAGGTTGTTACCAAATAAATTAACAATAGATAAAGTGTACACTGGTACCTCTTGTCATGTAGATTCTTCAGGTATTTCCTCATTAAGTAGCCTCGAATGTGAGCCTGGAACAGAGCCACTATAGTAGACAGTCGCTCGTCACGGAGTTCCTCAAGGTAACCGAGGACACCAGCCTTGAAGAACACTTTGGTATTACCCAGACGGTACTCATCTGGGTTCATTTTCAGAGCCTCCAAAATGTTCCCAGAGACAACTTTGCCCTCAACAAAGCCTTGGGGAATAGCATTGGGGGCCAAGATGGAATATCTGTTTGTAAGCAAAAGAAAAACACATTTGAACAATTGTTGACGAAAAATGAGAGGAATTTCATATATAACATGATAAACCATCTAATATATTCAAATTCAGAATGGAGAATTACTCAAAATTAAGGAAACGATGATGAATACATAATTTTGTGTTTGGGAACCATTGATCAGCATGATTGTTTGTCACCTTTGTTTGAATTCAGAGTACACGACTCTGCTGGGAAAACCCTTCCTGCAGATACGGATACCCTCAAGGACACCGTTGCACTGGAGCTGGTGGAGCACGAGACCAGCATCAATCAGGCCTGGAAATATATTTCAACATTGATTTCATTTGTAACATTTGTAAACATACCATATTCAAGGAACATCACACTTATTAATTCATATAAGAAATACAACTGAATGTAAAATGTTTATTGACATGGATGTGACAAAATGTCATCACCTGGTGTTTTGGTTTCGTTGGGGATGATACACCGTACAAAGTGTGGATGAGTTGTGTACAAGTTTTTCATCAGCTTGTTCAATGATTCCTGAAACAAATATTTGATCATGAGCATTACATAAGGCCCCGATAAAAAAACAATTATTACATTTGATAATTTTTTTAAAGTATTGAGACTTCATACATAATGTGTTCTAAAGTTTCGGGAAGAGGTGTGTAAGTGTTTCCCATTAAATAACATAATACAAATACACAAGGCATCATAGGCTAGGCGGGGTGGTGGGGTAGCCTAGTGGTTAAAGCGTTCGCTCGTCACGCCGAAGGCCCGGGTTCGATTCCCCACATGGTTACAATTTGTGAAGCCCATTTCTGGTGTCCCCCGCCGTGATATTGCTGGAATATTGCTTAAAACGGCGTAAAACCATACTCAGTCAGTCAGTCTTGGGCTAGGCATACACATGTAAACTGCATGGGAAAGACGTTATCAATATACTCTTACCCTGTGAGTGGCGGAGATTGTCTGGAAAGCAGAACTCTTCTTCTTCTTCTTACCAGCTCCAGCTGCCGCTGCAGCATCTGAACCATTGTGAAAATATACCATTGTGTTACCAACGCAGTGAGAGGTGTTTGAACCATATCAGTTGTGTATAATTATCCATTAAAAGGTATTTTTTATTACTAAAATTTTATTACTAACCATTGTGCTCCATATGTTTGAACCATATCAGTTGTGTATAATTATCCATTAAAAGGAGCATTTTTTATTACTAACATCCATATGTCATTCTAAATAATCTCAAATGAGATACTAATTCCAATCATCTCGTGAAACAGCGCCACAAACTCTACACACCTGGTTCAGCTGGAGAGAAAAGCAACTGGACAAGTGGCTCCTTAGATTGTTTCAGAAGATCCACAATGGTCTCGTTGACAGGGTCCTTGTTCTTCTCCAGCCAGCCTCCGATGTTGTAGGGAACTGTTCCTGCATAGTGCTTCAAGGCGAAGTCACCATGTTGGCCTCCCTTCATTGATTTGTTGGGCTTAAGGAAGTTTGGAGATTTGCCCATGTGGTTCTGAGTTAGTTTGTCCTTAAAAGTCTTGTCAGAAGCTTTGGGAAACATGCACTCCTCTTCTAAGATGGATAGAATACCCAAAGGCTGAAACATGAACATTCAAAGAATATTCGATCACAAAAACATCATGGTCCTGATCATCATAAATAGCTCGACTGCGCTAGTGAAAATATGTTTGTTTATTCTAAATGGAAATCAGCAACTTTTTCTTGTACTTATACAAAATAGTAATCAGTTATACGTGAACGTATCATGGACTTTGTCAGAAGCTTTGGGAAACATACACTCCTCTTCCAAGATGGATAGAATACCCAAAGGCTGAAATATGAAAACCGTGTTCCTGATACATAGCTCATGAATTACAGTGCGCCAGTATGAATGGGCCTGTTTAATTGAATGTTTATAAGCATGGTATTTTCATTTAAATGATGATCAGCATGCTCTATGCTAACGTTTTCTTGTTACTTTTACAAAATATGAATCAGTTATGGGTGAACTGTTTTACCTTTTCAATGAGTTCAATGCAGGCCTGCAAGTCCATTCCAAAGTCAATGAACTCCCAGACTATGCCTTCCTTCTTGTATTCCTCCTGTTCCAGCACAAACATGTGGTGGTTGAAGAACTGCTGCAGACGTTCGTTGGTGTAATTGATGCAGAGCTGTTCAAAACTGTTGAACTGTAAGACAAATATCAATCTGGTAAGAACGATCGATGTGTATATCCCATTACTATGTATAACTCATAGTTACCTTAAGGTAAGAGTACCAACATATTGATAGTGCATCTATACTATATAGCAAAATGAGTGTAACTCACATCAAAGATTTCAAACCCTGCAATATCCAGAACACCAATGAAGAACTGCCTGGGTTTGTTGGTATCCAGTGACTGGTTCACCCTCTTGACCAGCCAGTTGAACACGCGGTCGTAGAGGGACTTGGACAAAGCACCAACAGAATAGAGAACCTGATCCTTGGTTCGTCCTTGAGTGACGTAATCCATGGCCACCTTGATCTTGGGTTTACACAGAGCCTTCAGGAAGTCACCACAGTTGACACCCAACAGGAAGGAAACCTTCTCAGCCACAGCAGTTCCATCAGGCTCAGCCTGTTCACCCTTCTGCTTAAACGCCATTTCACCCATGTGCAATATTGAACCTGTACATTTGTAGGCGCTAGTTTTCTCGTCCCCGGTGAATCCCAGGACATCAAAGGCTTCCTGAATAAAAGAGAAATGTTAACATGTAAGGTGTGCTAAGTGTAAGGTGCAACGGTTTCATTGCTTATTGATTCCATTATTTTCAATGCCAAACTTCTTCGGTTTTCAATAAAATATGTGCAAGTGCAAATGATTGTGCAAAATATAGTTATGTATTAAAGTCTTTTATAGGGAGTACGCATGGTACTGACATCAGTCATTTTCATTTCCTCCTTGTCGTCGATGCCGTTGACTGTGAGGACTCCCTGATTGATGAAGGTGTAGAGACCAGCATCAGGTTTGGCCACAATCGTCTCTGTAAATGAAGATTGATTAGGATAAATGAACAACTGGGCAATGTCTATGGATATACAACTTCTTTTTTATTGATATGAGCGACGTTGTTTCGGTGTAGCAACTAACACCGTTATGAGGCAAATTGAATATAAATGAGATTCGTAAATGTTTGAACTTTATAGTTTTCTTCGACATGTGCGTGTCTTTCTGCTTACCTAACACAGACGGAACAGCCTGTGACAGCATCTGGTAGAAGATGTGGTAGTTCCTCTCAACAGATTGTTGGTAAGTCACGCGAGATTTCTCAAGAAGATCTGGACAAAATATACATTTCATTAAACCAACAGGAGTCACAGAATATTGTTTAATGAATATAACTGAAATAACAAAACATAAGCATATACACATATACAAAGATTTAGAATAAATGTGGTCACGTTACTCACATGTTTCAATGTCTGCACCAGCGATTTTGCCAGATGTGGCAAAGTGAATCCTCACGAATTTCCCCTGTGGAAGAAATTAATCCCTCACCATTTAACATCGACAGTTATGAATGCATAATGTTATGTTGAGGACTGTTACTGGAGTACTCTTTATTTAATACTTTGTATTGATAATGTGTAACTACCAGAAAAAGATATCAATTCTATTTCAGTTAAATGTATTAGAGTAAACATTATTCGATTAACTTACGAATCTGGAGGAGTTGTTGTTACGGGACGTCTTGGCGTTACCGTAGGCCTCAAGGACAGGGTTAGCTTGCACGATCTGATCCTCGAGGGAACCCTAAAGACAAACATTAAGTGTGTTGAAACATATTATAACAACATCTGAATAATTCATTTTATTCTAAGGACATAGAAGAAAATCTTGTTAAGTCTAGTACGATTATTAAATCTAAAAATGTTACTGAAATTTTCAGATCACATTTCTACCTTCTTTTCGTCTTGTTCCACTTCTCCCTTGGAGGCAGCAGCGACATAAGCGAAATAGGCGATGACCTTCTTGGTGTTCTCCGTCTTTCCGGCTCCAGACTCGCCACTGATACGAAGGTGAAAATCCATTATTATTCTTTGTAAAATACATACTACTGTGACGTTACATTCGGTTTTAAGTTCAATATATTGTTTTACTATATATTGTTTTTTTACAGTGTGATTTGGTAATGGGTAACTTACGTGATCAGCATGGATTGATTTTCGCGATCTGTAACAAATAGTAATATTTATCAAGCTACTGATAAAATAGTTAACTTGTGAGACTTTCATGAAGGACAATAGCACAAATTTTGCAATATTATTTACAGAATAGGGTAAGTCCTTTAGACAATTATCAATACTTTCAATGTCACATTGTTTGAGTAGCGGAAGTTATCGGTAGGGCGGGGCATAAATACCCTTTAAATTACCCACCACTAACTTTATGTGGTCCATTGATATAATTTTGCTCTTTACACAAAAAGAAATATGTTTGGGTGGATCGTGGAAAATACGTTAAAGCATACCTTGCACCATGAACTGGTAGGCGTTGTCAGAGATGGAGAACAAGTGAGGAGGCATCTCTGTCTTCCTCTTGCCTCTGTACTTGGCCACGATGGACGGGGTATAGATGGGGAGACGGCGGTAGGGGTTGATGGCGATACAGAACAGGCCTGAGTACGTCTGAAGAACGGACATTATTAGTTTATGATCAAACATTGCTCTAATGCTGTTTTCTTTTTGCATAACATGTAAAGGGTTATGTTGAGCACATGGTTCGTCATAATATATGTGCATGCGCGTATGTGTGTGTGTGTGTGTGTGCATATGTGTGTGTACGTGTGTGTATGTGAGTGTGTGCTTGTTTGTTTGTATGTGTTACAGCATGCCACTTACATAGATCAAGCCAGAGGTGTATCTGGACCTCAGGTTGTACAGGACGGCGGCTTCGTTCAAGTAGGTCATGTTGGCGATATCCTCAATCTTCTCGAACTTGGGAGGATTCATCGACTGAACTTCATCCTTCTTAAACGTCTTAGTCTGAAATAATAAGTAGGAAAATGAAATCTTAATATGAATGTATCCTCCATATTATACACTAATACTGACACTTTTGTTCCGTCGCAGTTGGCATATGGTGAACACTAGGTGTTACCCGAATGTCCATATCTTAGCACTAATACCTCGTTTGTCTCAAGAATGAGTACTGTGACTTCTTCGCCCTTTGTGCTCTTCAGTTCTGCAGCACGGAAACCTTGTTCAGCATCAGGCGCCCAGCAAGATTTCTTGGCATCAAAGGACTGCTTTTGCTCCTTCAGCAACTTCTTGCGGTCCACAGCAAGATACTGCATCTCAGGATCGGTAGGATCGTAGGAGGCCATGTTGGCAAGTATCGTAGATGGGGTGGGTTCGAAAGCTGGGGAATGCTTAACAGCTCTGAAATATGGAAAGGATCAACATTATGTTGGTAAGTTATAATTTCACAACAAAACAGGCCTTAATACATTGTCCTCTGAGTGTGCGTTGACAAACAGTGTCATAATCAACACAATCTTTTACAGACTACAGGGGGAACACTACCTCTACTGAAGGTAGTAGAAAGTGCGAATTCATCGTAATTTAACATTTTGATATTTAGGAAAAGAAATGAAACAAGAAACAAAAATTACTTGAATTCACACTGCTGTTATTTCGGAATAGTGTGATTATTGTTGTGCGAGACATACTTACGAGTGCAGCTGGTCTGATTTCTAGGAAGAACTGAACCTGTATATATACCCAAGATATTCAAGTGGACATTTGCATGAAAGAGTGTGATTGGTTGATTGACGTAAGGCAGACTTCTCATTGGATGTGACCGAAGACAATGTCATAATGATTAACCCCCAGCAACAGAGGGGTGATCACGTGGATTGGGTTGAGGCCAGTGCGTCATTCCCACCCCACTCACCCCTCTTCCACAGCTCCTTAATAGCAGGGGGGGGCTGTGGGGGTGGGGGTGGGGGGTGAATGCAGCCTGGGGAGATCTGGTGCCACCAGATGACAGAGTGCAGTGAAGCTTCAAGTTACGAGAAATTAGAACACTGGAGACGCTGGTGGTTCGTGTATTAATTGCAAGGGAACGAAACCAACTTACAGTGACTGCATTTTACATAGCTGGCTTACTTAATTCTGGATGTATTTCAACTTAGCTGAACTGCATCATTACAATCCTAATGATCGTTTAAGTTTACCTGTATGTATGTATCATTTATTGAATAGAATTATGATGTTTGAGATATGGTGTTTACATAGGCTTTGTTATAAGCATGAAAGCATATGTGAGTGAGTGAGTGAGTGAGTTTAGTTTTACGCCGCACTCAGCAATATTCCAGCTATATGGCGGCGGTCTGTAAATAATCGAGTCTGGACCAGACAATCCAGTGATCAACAACATGAGCATCGATCTGCTCATTTGGGAACCGATGACCTGTGTCAACCAAGTCAGCAAGCCTGACCACCCGATCCCGTTAGTCATCTCTTACGACAAGCATTGGTTACTGAAGATCAATATTCTCAGCAGGACCTCTACGGGTTTTAAAGTATATGTAGCATTAATCATATTAGCACTAGTACATGTAACTGAGTGAAATTTCAAATCAAGATGTACTGCCGTTCGTGGAATATAACAATTTAATATTTGATGCTTGACATAATCGGAATTAAGGTTTATGTCAATCAGAATAATATGAAACACCCACGTAACAGATCTTACTGTTCCGTGTCCAATTTCAAGAAGATTTTGCTTGTTCCGAAATAATGAATGCATGTGAAACCCTTGTCGGCAGTTCTTTCCAATATCTCATAGTTGCCGATATCTCAATTTAATTCACAAACAATGACGCTTAGCAGGATAACATATGAACATAAGTTTATAACTGTTTTATAATCGTCTTATTTTGTGTAATGTTAAGGATCTACACGTATGGGTAAATGTTAAGGATCTACACGTATGGGTGAATGTTAAGGATCTACACGTATGGGTGAATGTTAAGGATCTACACGTATGGGTGCCTGTGTTGCAGTCGTTGATTATGCTTTAATGTAATACTACGTTTTCCCGAGCACGTGTCAGAATATATTAATATTATGAGAAAAGCATATTCTAAGATTTAATGTTCTTCTTGCTATTACTAGTTTTGTTTAAAATCCTATGTTGACAGTATGTTCGATACATGCTGTGGCGCCCATGGGTGGTGCATATGTTGTTTTGCGGTATTGGCATATTATGTAGTATAGCTTAATGAGATCATGAATCAAAGCTACCTCACCCTGGGAAGACCTAGACTCCCCGTAGTAATGACGATAACATTACATCACTACCACGCGCTAATTTGCATATCACGTCATAAAGCTTATCTCGTGCGTGTAAGCAAACGGGTATATACTTTTTGAAATACGCACAGTGCCTTGAAATATGGATCGGCTTTTTCGGTAATTCAAAATGTGCTTATAATGGACCATAATCTCAACTTCGACCTCTTCGAGTGAGTGAGTGAGTGAGAGTGAGTGAGTTTAGTTTTACGCCGCACTCAGCAATATTCCAGCTATATGGCGGCAGTCTGTAAATAAACGAGTCTGGACCAGACAATCCAGTGATCAACAGCAGGAGCATCGATATGCGCAATTGGGAACCGATGACATGTGTCAACCAAGCCAGCGAGCCTGACCACCCGATCCCGTTAGTCGCCTCTGACAAGCATGGGTTACTGAAGATCAATTCTAACCCGGACCTTCACTGGTTTGACCTCTTCGACCCTGTTCTCACTGTACTGCGCGGAGTGTCACACGTGGTAGGATCGAAGAGTGAGAAACAAGGGATTGAGATGTAGCCAATCTTTGTTGTTGGTTAGTGTACACTCGACGCTATTTGTCAACATCATCATATCATCGGGAAAATGTTTACATCGTATCCCCTCAGGGAATTCAGGAAGACGAACAGCTCATGCCAAACCTGGTCAATAACGGTGAAACTTGAGATACGTTGCCGCTAGATAAGTTGATTTAACATTGAAAAATATTTTCTGTTAGTCTTTGTTTTATATACAGAAATGATGATTACCGAGTGTTTTTTCTCGTAATCAAAGCAGGAGATAGAAATATGTTGTATGGAGGTTTGTTTCAAGTGTTTCACATAGGTGTCATGTATCACTGGTTAGCGGAGATTGCGCAGGTGAAAACTATTTGAAAAAATGAGCAATTAATCAACGTATTATCGGCTAATGCATCGAAAGTATGTTGGGTTATACATAGGCATTTGACCACTGTGTGCTTCAGTGAACTCAGTTTTGACAAATCCACTGTGCAAGATGACAATTATTTATTATGAATCAATGTGTCGTTTAATCCGTTGATCACTTGCTTGAATGGCATTTAGAAGATGCTGTGATGAACAAGGGTGGTGGTGCTATGGTTATGCATTTGTGTATAACAGTATATGCGACGATTTAGTTTAGATGCTAACACGGATATAAAGCAAGGTAAAGCTGTAGGTAAAGCATTTATGTACATGAGTAAGTTATGTTTATTCAGTTAACTTAGAGGCTTATAATGTTGATGCTGTATACACAGGTTGATGTAGAAAGTGTGATGGCTGTTTACACAATAACGACAATGTTTACACAGTGCAGAATTAACATGGGAGAGACTGAAGATTAAGAATAATGGGTTTAGTATTGCTTATAATTAGTGATGGATTGGTGGTAGGCAGTAGGGATGCAATAACCTTTGTCTCTGTTTATGGCCAGCTAGAATTGCTGGATGTGAATGGCTTTAGAAACCATTCCTGTACTGCCGCGTGCATATTACTTAACTTGAAATTCATTCACCACATCATTTCTAACCCAGTCTTGGCTTGAATAATTACACCACTCGAGAAAAATGCGAAGCAATGATTGCTGTATATACCCGACGATGCGAGCGTCTGGAGTATATACATGCGGTTATTCGGCGTAGTAGTTGTCAGGAAATCTGTGTGTTTCTATCACTAATGTTTACCTGTAATGAAGTCATTATGGAGGTGTAGGCTTATACCATGAAACATGGCTGACATGAAGAGAGATGTAATTGGTGTATTATATTCAACTTGCCCCCAAAGTAAGAGATATGGCTGTTTAAGTTCATGAACTGAATGCTATTACCGCAAAACTAATTCTGGCAGTTCCGGTATACGAAGTACATTATTGTAGTTACCTGTTAACTGTAATACTAGTAACTGTTTTTATTATGCCCCTCCCAACCGAAGTTTTGAGGGAAATGTAGAAACTTTGTCCATCCGCCACATTTATTATCGAGTGCACAACTTTGTGCACATTTCTTTGTATAAGTCAGAACTCGTATATGTCATATATATTATTTGATTCATGTATATATGTAGAAGGGACAGGCCTACTGATGACTGAAACCCTTTTTTTGTCCTGCTTAGTTACCAGCTGCAGCAAGTCCATTCACGACAACCGATAAGCCCAAGCGGGCACCGTTATACTGCATCTGAAAATTGGAATGTTGCATCCAATAAACTTTTCCACCACTGTCACTATCCTTTGACTACCGTACGAACTTTCAAATGTCGGTCTGAGTTTCTTGTTCAGTCAGTCAATCTTCTTGTATTTACGAAGCCACATATCTTTAATGCATATAGCGATGGCGATGTTGCACACACTTTAAACTATTAGTTACAAATTAGGTTGTATACAAACATGCCTAATATATATACATGGACATGTTTTGTGTTGTTAATTTATCAGGAATGTTTGACAGGTGTCGGAATATTTAACGATATATATATCGTTTATATATAATTAAACTACTTTACGGGGATGTATTTGTTTGACACTGGAGTAGGTTAAAAGCGATATTCATCCTTGCTAGCTTGATTGTTACCCATCTAATATAGTCGTCCACTCTGGATATAGAATTCATTGGGTGAATGGCGAAATATTGCCAAAGAAGTACAATACATGCATTTCTTTATTTTTACAACAGACAGGTGATGTTTAGTATATGTATGAGTTTTCAACAATCTGTAATATAAAATAGTGTTCAAAAAGAATAACGAAAATGACCACGATTGCAGACAAATGTCTTGTAGCCTCTACTGGAAATTATCGATAAACACACTTTCAGTTTGTATGTTACTTGTTGTTACCCAGGCTGGTGCTATTAGGGGGATGAAACAGGGGCGGGTATCTCGCATATACTTGTATGTAATCGTTGGAATACATTAAGATGCCTTGACCCAACCCTGCTATCTGGCTAGTCAGTAGAAGAGGTACTAGGTTTGGGTGGAGAGAGTGTTTAAAAAGTCCATGTAGTTAAAATATCCGTAGGTCAAAACTCCAAC